GTGCTTATCTTCTACTGTATCATCATTCTGATTAAGGTCTAGTAACTGCATTATTTTTTAAGAGCTTAGCCAAGAAGAGACGTCTTCAGTCGTAAAAGGGATAGAAAAATTCGGGATGCAGAAAACAAAACAGCAAAGACTTCACGTTTTATGATTTCTCAGTGGAACATACAGTGACAAGTACGCATATGTGAATAATCAAGTAAATGTAGGTTTGCTTCCTTGATCGCCTCTCAGCAGTAATGTGAGGTGTACTTGCTTTTTTTCCTTAATGTTTAAAGAAGTATTCCACATCCTCTTGGCTTATATGCTGGCATTTGTTTCAGGGATTACACTTTTCTACGGAGAGCAGTCATAGCACAGTGTCATACTGGATGTGCATGCATGTGCAAGAATGTAAAGCTAGCCAAAAAAGACACCATACAACAACATCCTGTTTCCTAAGCGTGACCAAACTAACACACTGTGACCTGCTGCGCGATCCTACACACCATGTCCTGTTACTATTAGCACCTATCCTGCACACTTCCTCTGGAACATGGGTTGGAAAATCCGCCTCAAATACTGCACTCAGGGGGAACCATGGTTAGGACAGTGACCCTGCTCAACCGCCAGCTACAGAAAATAAACCATTAAACACCCCGACAAGGCCTATCATTATCTATCTATCTATCCATCCATCCATCTATACACACGCACATACATACATATACACATACATATATCCCATTTAAAGGGGATAATTTAATTTCGAGCTGAAAACGTTCATTCAGAGTGGTTCATTATAGATAAACTTATCTTAGAATTACTTACATTGTATATCTACAACACAAAAAAGCCATTTTCCTTACTATCCAGAAGAAGCAGTGAATCTACAGGCTTTTTATGGGTAATATTGATAAATCATGATAAATCTGAAAGAAAAAAATAAAATTCTCAGGAGATTGTTTTGCCTTACAGTACCCTTCATGTAACCCTCTACTCAGCATATATTTAATAATATATTTTAGGTCAAAACAAAAATTTATCAAACAACAAAAACAACACCCGCACATATAAGGCAACATATTCATAATCATTTCATGTACTTTCACTGATGTAGCTTTTAGAGCCAGTCTGGTTCCAATCACCACCACTGTGAACAATTCTGACTCTCTGGAACAGAGCATTTCACATAACATCATTCTGAATAAATCACTGAAATATGCAAAAATTTTGAAAAAAAAACAAAAAAACAAAAGCACTTAGGCGTCTAAAAGTAGGCTCTCATACTGAAACTACTCAAACACTTTGCTAGCCTAAAGGAAGAAATGCACAGCTAACATTATCACATCACATGTGAGAGAGTCCTATTTCAGAACAGATTTGTTACAGGATTGAATCATTTCTTCTTGTTTTTCCCCCCTTCGTACATCCAGTCCACAACACTGTGCTGATATTTTGGGCTGATACTGTAATCCATTGACACTGATGTGCCATCTCTACCTATCCCTGAAGCTTTTTAATGATAGTCTTAAGTTGCAGCATGAATGCCAGACAAACATCAAGCCAGTGCAAGTTTGTATCTTTTCAATTCATCTCTTAGAAAAGTTTGGTTAACATTTTGCGCAACATAAAGTGTCAAAACGAAACTTTAGTTCAAACATATGCCTCCTAAATCAATATTCATAAATGAGTCATTCCCCAAAAAAAACCTCAAAACATTTACATAAATATCTGAGTGTCACAGGAACAGTGCTCATATTATTTAGTAGATCAGTTGAGCTCTACACAGTACAGCAAAAAGTTTTTAATAGTTTTTTGAGTATTTTTCCTAAAAAAAAAAACAAAAAAAAACAAAGAGGAATCATTACGTTTTACTCATTTTAAATTTTAAAGGTTGGGTTCAGTATTTGTCAAGTTTGTGAGAATAACCCAAATATGGTTTTAAGAGACTGGTCACACGACCCAACCCACAGGAGCATTTGAAGATCATGTGGTTTCTACTCAAAGCCCACAAAAAAATTCATTCTCTGTTGCACCTTTATGACAAATGCGATGATCATTTTATCAGCCCAAATTATCAGGTCATCAGAAAGTTAACTACTCAAGTTAGAAAAACACTTGTTTTATCCAAACCTAAGAGGTTAAAAAAGAAAAAAACTAGGCCTGTATGACATTTACGATTTGGTATCATCACAATACCAAAATGGGTGGTGTCAGTGTGGTGTCAGTGTGGTGTCAGTGTGGTATCATAGCACTTTTTTGCATATGCTAATTAACTACAGCCCTTACACAAAACAATTAACTACATGTGATACAGAAAGCAGCACAGGCTAACCAAAAAATACTATAACCGCCAATCCTGCTCAGTGTCTAGGAAACCATTTTGAAAGTCACAAGCTTTCACCTTGCTCTGTTTCCCTGATTACGTCTGGCATTGCTCCAACATGACATCACATTAATTTAATCGAAAATGGCACACAAAGCATTCTACATCCACACGAACACAAACACACAGCAATTACAGCATATTACTGTCTCTGCCACTCCGCATCAGCAGATGCTTGAGATTCCTTACATGCAGCTACAACAGTAGCTCTAAACATTCGATCGCAGTGTTTTTGCTACGGAGCCAATACGCTGAGTAAGAACAGCTAAACAGCATTATTCAGGGCAAACAAGCAGGCTTTCCTGGCTCCATGCTAAGGACAGACAGTGGGGACTCTTTGTAATGTAGGTCAGTCCTGTTCAATGCCACTGTCTGGGCTTTCTCTCTGTTGCATAGAAAAAGAGTTCCTCACTGAATGAGAGCTACACACCATTTAAGGACAGCGCCTCTGGTGGGAAGCATTAGTCTTTTGGTTGACACCTGCCCAAAGAACGGCTTAGGCCTGACAGAATTAAGCCAAGAAAGCTACAGGTGGGCAATATAACAATATGTATCGTTATCGTGATGTAATTTATCAGATTATATCCCGTTTCTGAGCATATAGTGGACATTGTCAGTACACTGCCCAACTGCATGCTTCATCACAAACAAGGTATAATTAGTCCTGTTTAGTGCATGTGTGTGAAAGGGTGACTAAAAATTAATATATTCATTTAAAAGATCTTTATCATGCAAAATCCCATTTTCATTGCCTTTTTGAAATAAAAAGCAGCAAACGAACACAATTTAAGTTTCAAAATGTACCATTCACTCCTGAGTCCATACAGACCACATTTGGAAACTAAGCGGCGAAAACAGCTCGTTTTGAATTCACTGCTTCTGTGATGTCATGAAAACCTGCACATTTACATTTACATTTACTGACTGGCCTCTTCTTTAAGTCCACCTCCTTGTATCTGCACTCTTTGACCATTTGATCAGCTCCATTGACCATATAGGTGCACTTTGTTCTACAATTACAGACTGTAGTCCATCTGTTTCTCTGCATACTTTGTTAGCCCCTCTTTTACCCTGTTCTTCAGTGGTCAGGACCTCCATGGACCCTCACAGAGCAGGTACTATTTGGGTGCTGGATCATTCTCAGCACTGCAGTGACACTGACCTGGCGGTGGTGTGTTAGTGTGTGTTGCGCTGGTACGAGTGGATCAGACACAGCAGTGCTGCTGGAGTTTTTAAACACCTCAGTGTCGCTGCTGGACTGAGAACCAAAAATATCCAGCCACAGCATCCTGTGGGCAGCGTCCTGTGACCACTGATGAAGGACTAGAGGACGACCAACACAAACTGAGCAGCAACAGATGAGCTGTTGTCTCTGACTTTACATCTACAAGGTGGACCAACAGGGTATGTGTGTCTAATAAAGTGGACAGTGAGTGGACACAGTGCTTAAAAGCTCCAGCAGCACTGCTGTGTCTGATCTACTCGTACCAGCGCAACACACACTGACATGTCACCACCATGTAAGGGAAACACCACACAAATGAGTTATAATCTCTGTTCATGTTGAGCATCAAGAGAGGGCTGAAGACCGTCTCCACTACAGGTCTTGAAATTATAAAAAACTTTAACAAACGACAAAAGTGCAAAGAATAACTCCAAAAATAATCAACGATCAATTGTTCTCTGTTGTCGACAGCATTGGATTTTGTGGCACACCGTAATGGTTTTAGTTTAAAGGTGATTAAAGGTGAACTGTTTTACTGTCAGCTGAAAGAAGATTTTATTGATAATAAATGTGTATTTTCTTTATTACCTTGTAGTTTTTTTATGTTTTATAACATACAATAAAAAAAAGGTTTCATTTTTAGCCAGGTGTGTCTTGATTTTGAGTTCTGGACAGGAATTTTCATTTCATCACTAAGCAGTATAATTGCAAAATTAGCATTATGTCCAGAGGCTGAGTGGCTGCTGTAAGCACTTCAACCTCGGAGGAGCCGAGAGATTAACCTCATCTCACCTCGTATTATCTAGGTCAGAGGAGATGGTGTGGACTCGGCATCTTGACGAACGACACATTCTGCCAAAGCCACGCATGCAAAAGAACGTGATGAGAAGGCAAAACCCTCTGACACATAACTAAGTCTGACACATCAAATAAAAATAGTACAGCAACAGCGGCACAGAGACCAGACATAAGTGGAAGTTTATTGAGGGCAGGACAGATGTGGCTTAAGGAATTGATTTCCATGGAATTGCGGTGAATCTTACGGAGTGTACAAGTGAATTTGCATATAAACACAGAATCGCCAAACAAAACTGTGCCCAATTTTGACACTGACATAATTATAGCATTATGTCAGTGTCTATATTATGAAGTTATATTACAAGAGTTTACTGTTATAACAATTATGAGAATTTCAAGATTTTCATTTTGAAATTGTGCGCACTAAAAAAAAGCGAAAACAAATAAAAAAATAAAACTAAAGAAATGATGACGAAGAGAAAAGAAGTTTGATGCAATTGAAGGAAAACGTAGAAATCCTAATCACAGAAAAACAAGCCAGGAAAAAAAATCCAATCCACAGCACTCCATACAGAGAAGAGTGATTAGAAAAGAGAGCAGACCCACCTATCTGTCTCTCCAGGTCTGCAGCCTCTTCTGGAGTGGCTCTGGGCAGCACCCCGGGGTCACTGAAGCTGGTCCTGAGTAACGTCCCCAACACGAAGAAGAACAGTACACCGCCGATCACAGGGATGGCTGGCGTCAGTGTGTTTGCCAAGAATGGACAGCTATGAAAAAAAGGAAAAAAATTATAATAAAATACACAACTACATCATGTTTTGACTTCAGCTTCAGTTGGTTTTAGCTTCAGTACCAGTTTTAGCATGAATTAGTATCAATCATTCTCTGTAGTGTCAGTATGTCTTATAATCATCAGGAATTCCAGGAAGCAAGTAGCCTATCTATACTTTTATTTAGCACTGAAACAAAGTCCTCTCAGCGAGGCAAGGCTGAAGACTTTGTATGGTTTTTGCTCCACCTTGTAACACTGTTATCTGATCTAATGAGAGTCACATCACAATCCAGTTATTCCTGCACACCTAGGTGCAGCTTACACTAATCACATTACTTTGGATGATGCTGGGCTTTCCCATGTTCCACCTCATTAATCCAAGCAGCCTAACAGCTTTCAAAGTACTGTGTGATGCATGGAATAACACAGAATCTCCACTGACACAGATAAAAAAAAGGCATGACTGCAGTAATTTAAGCAGAATTTCAGAATAAATAATAATAATAATAATAATATAATAATAATAAGAAGAAGAAGAAGAAGAAGAAGAATAACAACAATGTTCAATAAAGTATATGCTCATGTTCATCATTGGTGTACTGTTCATTGTTGCTGTCCAAAAAAAACAAAACAAAAAAAAAACAAGTATCTCCATTTTTGTTTATTTTAATTACATAATTTGAACATGGCAGCTGTCCTTTATATTGCGTGAAAATCATGATAAATAGACAGAAATGCTAAAAAAATCACTTGCAATAAATCCTCTTTAACTTACAGTAAGAGTTACAGTAAACGTTTTTCTTCGGGGAGCAACTATATGTATACTGTATATGTTAGGCTTTTGTCACTGTAATTATGACACTACAGAACTGCTGTAAACATTAAAAAACATGCCACATAATCTAAGCAGGACGGTGAAGAAGAAACTAAGTAGCATGAAAAGTAACAAGGACAACTGAGCATTGACAACAGTGCTCCATCATCCCATTACTGAGTATAGCAAGCTTATGATGATCATTATATTTAATGGGTCTCTCATGCCTGCATCAATATATTGATTGGATCCATTACAGCGGTCTTGATGGAGTCAGACTGGGCAATGTGTCAGGAGGGAGAAATGTAATTCTGACAAGGCCGCTTTTCTTTTTGTACAACAAGCACCACACATGGAATTCCCAGGAACCTGATTTCTGTACTGCAAAGAGAATTCCCCAAAAAGTCTTACAACAAGTAGGCAGAAGCGAATCCTAGGCTCATTAAATATCAGCTCCACTTACTATATAGGTGCATTTTGTAGTTCTACAATTACAGACTGTAGTCCATCTGTTTCTCTGCATACTTTGTTAGCCCCCTTTTACCCTGTTCTTCAGTGGTCAGAACCCCCATGGACGCTCACAGAGCAGGTACTATTTGGGTGGCGGATCATTCTCAGCACTGCAGTAACACTGATGTGGTGGTGGTGTGTTAGTGTGTGCTGCGCTGGTCTGAGTGGATCAGACACAGCAGTGCTGCTGGAGTTTTTAAACACCTCAGTGTCGCTGCTGGACTGAGAATAGTCCACCAACCAAAAATATCCAGGCAACAGCATCCTGTGGGCAGCGTCCTGTGACCACTGATGAAGGACTAGAGGATGACCAACACAAACTGTGCAGCAGCAGATGAGCTATCGTCTCTGACTTTACATCTACAAGGTGGACTGACAAGGTAGGAGTGTCTAATAGAGTGGACAGTGAGTGGACAGTGCTTAAAAACTCCAGCAGCACTGCTGTGTCTGATCCACTTGTACCAGCACAACACACACTAACACACCACCATGTCAGCATCACTGCAGTGCTGAGAATGATACACCACCCAAATAGTACCTGCTCTGTGAGGGTCCATGGGGGTCCTGAGCACTGAAGAACAGGGTAAAAGAGGGCTAACAAAGTATAGAGAGAAACAGATGGACCACAGTCTGTAACTGTAGAACTACAAAGTGCACCTATATGGTAAGTGGAGCTGATAAAATGGACAATGAGCGTAGAAACAAGGAGGTGGTCATAATGTTATGCCTGATCGGTGTATATATAGAGGCTATCTTCCTGTCATTTAATCAATTCATTTATTCATTTCTCTTTCCCCCAGAGTGCTCCCCATTTTCTGGATTCTGGGCTAGCCCTTGCTTGACCTTGAATCAGATCTGGTATGCTGACCTTTGCGTGGCTTACAATAAGCCATGACTTCAATGTTTGTAATACAGTGTCCTTGTGCATGTGTGTGTATATAGCCTACATGTATCAGGTGACCGTTTGTGTACTACACTATGCAGCACTGAGCACAGATAGGGTTTCCTGTAATTCTGTGCTTCAGTGAGCTTTACAGAGAGCAGAAAATGGAGACGCCTGGCAGATTCCTGTACAGTACCTTATTCTCTGACTGAATGAACAGGCAGGTGCAGAGAGATCACGTAACAAATCTTTCATGCTGCAGAATCTTACGTAACTATTATCATCATCATCATCATCATTATAATTATGGACGTTATTGATGTACTCAGTACTGTGAATTCCCCTACTAGTCCTATTGCTTTTTGTTTGTCTGCAGAATGGACCCTTCAGGTCATTACGTGCAGAAGGGGCAGAGTGAGTGCTTAACTCTAGTGAAGATGGACAGCAGCATCATGCTGAAGCCATTAGAGATGGGCAATTTGGGACTTCATTTTTCCCTTTTCCTCCTCAGCACAGATCAATATATCTGTAGCGCTCTGAGCACCTCCAGTGCTGTCCTGTGGGTTCTGCAATACAGTCCTAAATGGTAACAAATAATAGAAAATAAAGGACACAATCAGAAAGGCAAACCTCCAAACACGTTCACTGACTTCATTTACAACCCTCTGAACAAGCACTGCTACCATTTCCATTCCTAAAGCCTTCTAATCACGCCACCTAGCAATCGTCTTCCCAGCCCCTGCAGTGTGTCTCACGCTACAGTGTTCCAGTACTATACTGGGATTTCGGAGTGTTTCGGTTGTCATGGAGATAAAAACTACCTACAGAGGAGGATGTGGTATATTGGGGTTGGGGGGTGGTGTTACCATGGCAACTGTTGCAGAAGTTATTTGAATCTTTCCAGTCTTTCCAAGAGCATCAAGTGACCAGCTTAAGTAGTCGTCCAGTTAAGGCACTGCAGCGGTCAGATCTGTCACTGGGACACATGACATATGAGTTCCAGTGGTGTCTTGTCACTCTCACTCATAGCCAGAGGTTGATAAAAATGCAAGTGTGTCACTAGCAAAACCACAAAACCAAGTGAAAAATCATACTTAACAACAAGGTATACTACAGGTCAGGATTCGCACAGTATTACAAAGAAAAAAAAGAAATCATAAGAACTATAATGACTTCATACACACACACACACACACACACACACACACACACACACACACGCCAAGTGAATTTGCTTGAAAAAACTGAAAACATTAGTATTACAATAAGTAAAAATAACATAAATAAGTACAGATTTCACACATGTCAATGTGTTTGTCACATTTCCAAACCTCTCTAGACGGAAGCCCAGAATTATTAGTATTTTTTATTGTTTTTTTTTTGGTATCATCCAATGCCTTTTGTGGCTAGGCAGTACTTTACTATGGTAAACCTGTGCACTGCTGATGGAATTTAATAAATCCGTGTGATAGATCCATGTGTGCTGTATATATATGTATATATGTATATATATACATACATACATACATACATTATCACCACACATATGTGTATATATATATATATATATATATATATGATGTATGTATATATATATATACACACACACACACACATACATATACATATACACACACACACACCACACATGGATCTTTTGACACAACTGAAACATGAAAAGACCTGTTGGCCTTTGCATTGTGTGTAAATTTCATGACGAATGGACCAAAAGAAATGGCCCAAAAATTCTTGCAAAATAAGTCTGGTTCCACTGACTTACATTAAAAGTAAAGTATGTTGTTTCCTTCTCCTGTAAAGTTGTCATTTTGAAGATGCTAAGGGACAGGGGCCGTATCTTTTGTGCTATGTTTAGAGTGAAAAACGAAAACAGCAGTCCCTCTGTGTAGTCAGCTGCAGTCTGAGGTACTCCAGCTTGTTATCGAGGGAGTCGATATAAGAGAGTAATACACAAGGAACCCCACACAGACCAGACCAACTGTCTTGCTTACACACATCGCTCACACTGCCTGCTTCTGACAATGCTATCTGGTGGGATTGCTGAGCCTGGCACTGACAGCATGAATGACTGTGATTTTTACCAAATTCCAGCAGTGACTGGCCGTGTTAGATGTAAGCATGGGTGTACGGGACTCACATATAAGACAAATGACTTGAGAAAATTAGACGAGAAACATCTAGTCCCATTCTTGCTGCTGCGTGCGAACATTTACACATCTCTTTAGGGCTAGAAACCAATATTAACAGAGGTTTATCTAGATATTGTTCAATTCTTTTTTATGGTTTTGCAAATTAAAAAAATAAATAAATACTGACTTCAGTTGCTAAATATGGTGCTTAAAAGTTACGTTCCAGAATAATAAGCCACTGTTTACCTACACCAATATGCTTACTTATGTATGTACCATTGATTATTAGGGGGAAAAAAAAACAAAAAAAAACATCACTGCTGGAACCAAGCCTTGCATTTCTGTTTTTGTCTTATTTATTTATTTATTTACTTATTTACTTAGTTACTTGCACAGTTAGCCAGCGGCCCTGTCAAAATTACATTTTGAATGGACCAACAGAAATGGTCCAAAATGATCTGTTCTTCTTGGTACGTTACATTCCATTGAAAGTTAACATTTTTCCTTCTCTGTAAAGTTGCTTTTTGGAGACAATACGCTCTCAGAAATAAAGGTAGTAAAACTGTCTCTGGGGCATAACTGTACCATAATCCACTGAAGTTACATTTTCTAAGTTGAACTGACTCCACACACCCCGTCTC